AATTTTAAATATAAACTATATTTAAAAAAAGGGTAAGCATAACTTACTTACAATGGAATTTAGCTAGAAGTCGGGCTCTGTAGGGACAGAACTTGGTCGTTGAATCTTTCTAAGAAAGATTCGTGCAGCGCTTCAGCGCTCACCTTACTATACTAAAACTACTGAAAGAGAAGTCGAATCACGAGGGACCGAAATGTTCGGTGGATAAGGAGAGAAAGACTCTTGAATCAAGAGAATGGTGCAAAAAATATGAGAACCCAAACCTCTTATTTATAGTAACTGAATTTACAAAAACTACCCTCCATAATTACTTAATGACCTTATAGTTATATAAACAACTAAACACCCCTTTATAATACTATTTTAAATAGATTTAACGATATTTGCACTAAACTAATGTCGAAAGAACTCAACATTAGTCTTATAATGACCGCATCGTCGATACCTTTCTAATGATATATACATATGTATGTATATATATATATATATATATATATATATATATATATATATATGTACGTATATATGATTTATACTTTATTTTAATACGTAAATATGCTATTATAATTTGTAACTCGTTCATACGAACTCCATTTTTGACGTTATTTATATCCACGCGTAGGTGGAGACGTACTCTACAACTTTCGTTTAGACTCCGTCGGCTAATTTTGACTTTATTTTTAAAGGTATATTTTTAACAGGCCGGGACAGGATTGGTCCGTTAAAATCTCATAACTTCTTTATCCGATGTCCATTTCCATCTGTCTTTTTATCTTTACGCTACTAATAACGAGATCTTCGATTCTCTTTTAGGTTGTGTCGGCTAAAAACCGCCCGATCTAATACTCGAACTTCGGGCTGTACACCGCTAAGCCGAAACTTCGAAAGATCATAACTTCCTCATAAGAAGTCAGATTTGGGCGTTCTTTTTATGGACGCTCTCAGGTTAACATATTCTACAACTTTCATTTAGATTATTAAGGCTAAAAGAAGCTCTATCATAAATTCACTATTTACGTCTCCCGGTACCGTACCGGTTTTACCGTAAAACTTCGACGGGCCATAACTTCTTCGTTATAACTCGGATTTCGATGCTCTTTATATGTATGGAAACCTTGTAACATATACTAAAACTTGGTTGAGATTATTTATTCTTAATAATCTTTTGTCGAAAAGTCGTTCTTGACCCCTATTGCTTCTAAATTGACTAGCTCGAATCTACGTGCGTTACATGATCAAATTATATTGATCATGGGTAGTTATCAGGCCCGACCCTGAAATTTCGGAGAGCTTGTGCAAAAACTAAAATGAGGCCCCATAAAAAATTTCTTGTAAATATTATTAACTACATTTGTTACCACTAATTCAAAACATAAAGTTGCTAAAAACATCTCATAAATTCACTACAACAAAATAATATCTTCAATCATTGGTAATCAAATAAAACTGTAAAACTATTATAAACAAATGTTCAAAAAAAACAATGCATTACTATTTTCTAAACATCGACCTTCTAGCATTTTTAGAAGAAAATTCATCTATGAGATTTTTTTTCTTATTTTTTTCGTGAGTTTATAAAATATAAAAATGTTGTCTAAAAATTACTTAAAAAAAAACATATTTGCATTTTTTTGGATATAGATATTTTCCTTAAATTGTTAAAAATTTTAAATTTATAATTAAATTTTGAATTTTGTTGATTTTTTTTCATAATTAAAACGCATCTAAAATTGGAACCAAATGTTACCGGGCAAATTTTATTTATTGATAAAATATAAAAATAGATTTTACAAAAATACCAATACTATAACTATAAATCATCCCAAAAATCGGAGGCCCCTAAGATCGGAGGCTCGGTGCGACCGCACCGACAGCACCACCCCAGGGCCGCCACGGTAGTTATGAATCAAGAACTAACTATTTGTAACTATAATGCCTCAAGTTGTAACTATAATGCCTGAAATTTTGCATTGTTTTTCTACAATGACTCACATGAAACAAGGCACCAGAATCCATAATCTAGGATTCGCCCATAATTTATATACTGCAAATGAGTCATCATCAAAATATGTTGTCATATTTGATGGTTTTAGGCATTGATTTATGAAGTCGTTATTTTCGTTAGAGTTCTAACAAGTAATATATTTCCTATTATTGGACAGACCTTTCTTCATTGACTTCAATATTCGTCATTGACTTCAATATTCGTCTACTGTTACCCTTTTTATTGGATCTCATGTCTTTGTACCATGTACTAAACAAACTGTTGGAGTATTCTCATGCATTCCACATGTGAATATCCTCACTCACGATCATGTTGTGAATACCTTTAAAGATAATATTAGTAAATCCTGATGAAGTGCTAACTGCATAACTGTTCCACGGTGAATATAATAGGTGCACCATAAGAACTTCATCAACAAATTTAATATCAAATGAAACTAACCTGGATTGTGTCAAATTAAATTGATTTGCATAATTTGTCACTATCATTGTCACCGTCATCGCCACCGTGAACGTCACTTGTCACTGGCATTTCTTTATTTTATTTTTGTATTCACTAACATTTTAATTAAGAAAATCTTATCCACAATCAATGGTTTCTCCTATATGTTAGATAGCGTCTTGGTTAGTTTAAACATTGTCTTCTTGTTGACAATGTTATATGCACCATTATTTGCCAACAAAAATCTAAACACACCAAGTACATGTTAGTTTAACAGGTGTCCACCTCCTACTTCATATCTTAAAGTTTTCAATTGAATAATATTTTTTGTAACTTTTTATGATGGAGATAATCTTCGATCTCCGTCTCCCAAAATCCACAATCATGATTTTTCACATTATCGATCTTAACCTTCCTATATGCAGTCATACTAGTTGTTAGGTTAAAGATATTATAAACACAAAATAAAGATGCAAACAAAACATTAATAACCATAATTACATGCTTCACATGAGTGAGAGTAGTCATGTTATATCATAGGCGAACTAGAGATTTTATTAGATTATCATAATATACCACTATTACTAAAAAGTTTTAAGATTCTATTAAAAATACCTCTTGTTTGAGTAAGAGGCCCCACATACATAATCCTCCATAGGGTCTGTAACACCATTAACCTCACCAATATGCTATACTCTGATTTGATAAGTTACGTTACTCATTATGTTATATGTTGCTTTACCGCATTGGAACACTCTGATTGTACTAATGTGGATTGTTATGTGACTTGCACAAGTCTAAGTCCCTTGGATCCAAATGAATTTCAATTTCTCGAACACAACTTGTCTAAATGACATAGTAAGTGCTTAAAGAGCCCCTTTGAATATATTCACCATACTATTACACGCCTGAACTTGAGTCCACGACAATACACCTTAAAGCCACATAACCAAGTCAACAAACCCCTTCGTAATGACATAATTTTTCAGACAAATTCTAAACATATCCCAAAACTTGGGATATATATATATATATATATATATATATATATATATATATATATATATATATATATATATATATATATATATATATATATAACCATATTAAGAAAGTAAATATAGTATCTAATATTATAAAACCAAAATGGTTATATAATTTACCGTTACAATAAATTATATAAATATTACTAATTTACATGTACATTTAGTTTTTTACCATTTAATTTATTTTTAATACCTTTCACGATCTTTTGAGATTCAATAAACTCAATTTCAAAACTGGCAAGTTTAATTAGTAGTTTGACATTTTTTTTTGCGATGTATTGTATACCCATTAATAAGAAGTGGGAAAGAAATATAGCAAACCTAGTTTAACCTTAATTTATTCGGTGTTTTGGTTCATTTTGGAAAGCCCGAAATTTTTTTGGTGTTCAAAAAATTAAGGTGTGCTCCCTTGATTAGATAAAATATCGTATTAAGTTCTCTAAATTATGATGGTTCGATTGGTGAAATGGTTCTTGAATTTCTTGTAATTTGTAACCGCTAGCATCTTGTTAGTTGTTTTTTGTTTAATGTATGTTAAAAAAAATTAATAAATCCTCAATCATGGTTTTTCATTAATTAAGGGTATCTTTTGGCTTAGTTTTTTAATCTTAAAAGTATAATTGGTAAAAGTTCTTATCGGCTAAAAAGAAATTTTTAAAAAATGTTTGGTTTAGCTTTCATGGTATTAGTTGGTTTTAAAAAGTGTTTAAATTGGCTTTTTAGACTTTCCTCATCGCAACTTGCAAAACTAGTTTGTAATGCCACATCATAATAATTAAATGATGCATTTATCTTTGTCTTTCACATTTTGTAAGATTTGCAATTGGAATTGTATCATTGTTTTAATCAAATGCCATGGCCCACTAATTTTTTTTTCCAAAATTCTAAATGGTGGTGAGGTGGCATCATTTGTAAGATCTTATCCTTGTACTAGTGTAGGTACTTTTAGAGGTAAAAGATTATAGAAAAAAATAAAAAACCATTAAAAAAATTAGGATTTAATAGTTTTTTGAAATTTTCTTATTTTATATATTAAAAAATTGTTTGAAAAAACTTTTTAAATAGCTCAAACATTGTTTTTAGCTTATTAGGTTTTTGAAATAAACTAATAAGTTAATTAAGTTAATTTAATAAGTTAATTCAAAAAACCATCCCAAACACCGACTAAAATAAATTTTAAGCTTGGAAAAACCATTCCAAACACCGACTAAAAAATTTAATAAGGGCTATCTTTTTTATATTTTTATAGTATAAAAAAGTAATCAATTTTTTAAACCAAGAAAAATAAATAATAAATAGATAACCCTTCAATCGTAGTTATAAATAGATAACCCTTCAGTCGTGTTTTCCAATTTAGCACGTCTCTCTATCTACTCTCTTTCTCTCTCTCGCCGCTTATTAAGCGGTGCATTAACCGGTCTATCTCCACACCCCTTTCAGTCAATCCTCTTCAGCAACCAGTGCCCAGACCTCAAACACCGACGATTTATTTCACACACATTTTATGCATGGGATTCGAGGGAAAGAGCGGTTGCAGCAAACTCAAGAGGAGGAAGTTGGCCATCAACTGGAAACAGCTCGTACCTTCGTCATCCGGTGACGACGATCGTCCAACGGAACTTCTGGTGACATCGAAGAGGAAATCAAAATGTGGCCGCAGTGAAGGTGACGCGCAAGAGAATGATAAGGAAGACTTGGAACTCCAGACGAAATCATACGATGATATTACCGAGTATATTGCGAGATCTAAAAGATTCTTGGTAACACTAAGTGATAAGTTGCCTGATAGGGGCGAAAAGCTCAAGGCAACTCTCCAGAGATACGAAGATGAACTCGAACGAAGAAATAAACTCGAACTGGAGAAGGTTTTGCTTTTTTTTTCTTCCCCTTTTATGTCAGTGCAATGCTTCTAAATCTTAAAACACGCACATTGGGAACTAAATTTGGTATATCATCCACTGATTGAAAATTAGCGATTAAATTTTGGGGGTATTGGTATTTCATGTTTATATAATTGAATCAAATTAGACCATAGTTATTATCAATGGACCTACCAGTTATATGAATAGAGAAAGATTTTGTAGCACTATTCATATGGAGTTCTATTATTTACATGGGTGTTTGGATAGGGAAAAAAATGACAGCTTATTGCTTATTTTCACCACAATAAGTTAATTTAAGTGTTTTGATAGGATGCTTAAAAAATTAGCTTATTGCGGTGGGAATAAGCTAAATAAGCTGATTTTAATAAGCAAGGGGTAATGCTTATTGCTTATTAGTCATTTTACTCATATAAGCTGTTTTGTTTGCCAAACACTTCCAATGCTTATTGCTTATTGTTTATTCCCACCGCAATAAACTAATCCAAACACATTTTAAAAAAATGCTTATTCCCACCACAATAAGCAATAAGCAATAAGCTAATTAAGCTAAAAATGCATTTATCCAAACACCCTCAACACAGCTTTCTGATCACAGTGATGAATGTGAGATTAAATCACCACGAAATTTGTAGTATTGCATTGTTTCTATGCATATACAGTCTGCTAAACTGCTTTTTCTGCAGGTGCTTCCGGAGGCAAAAGGAAATGTGACCAGAAGTCTTCATCATCAGCAATGTTAGCTTCTAGAGGTGAGTACATGTGGACTTTTTATGTGATTATGATTTCCAAGATATGTCATATGTTTTAGTTTATGGTTTATGAACTCTCTACAAGAGTAACTGAATATGTTTTGATTTATGAACTCTTCTGTAGAGTATGTGTTTATGGTGTGAAGAATTCTATATGCTATTGCTATGAACTCTGTTTTAGACTATGTATAGAAAATTTTCATTATTGTTATTGCTTTGCTAATATAATCCTTCTAGAGTATGTAAGTATGATATCAATTGCTTTATGTTGATATTGTGAACTTTTCCCTTTGGCCTATGAGTTATAAAAAGTTTATACTTGTAGCATGTGCACATCATTTGTATGAAATGCTTTCCAATAGTTTTTATGTCTAAAGACATGTAGCTCAAGAGATAGTCATGTCTTTTGTACTTAATTTGTTTTAAATTTCATATATTGAAAGTACAGGTTCAGGTGCATGTAAATAAACCAGATGGGTGTAGTACTTATATATGGGCCTTTTTGTACATCGCAAGAAGTAGATGATGATGATGATGATGCAGTGAAGCTATGTAGATGATGAATCTATGTTTTGAAACTTAGTTTTTGTAATTATGTGTGTTTCACTATACTAGTTGCAACTCCCCAAGTTGGTTGATATTTAGAAAATGTTTTTCTTTACAAGATATGATATGTGTCGTAAGGTATTTTCTTAAATATATATAGGTTTCAAACAAATATAAGATGGGGTGTTACAATGTTTCCTTGATTTACCCCATTTGTTGTGAAATCCCCCATTTGAACCCATAGGATTACATATTATACTATTAATTACGTACATTGCTCCACTGATTGGAGTTTGTCTGGATATGGAAGCAAATTAAAGGCCATAGAAAGCCGGCAAGTGTAGGTTAGGTATTCAAGCCGGCTCCAAACCGTTGGTATTCAGGCCCAGCTAAACCTCCAAGCTGGCGGCTCAATACTATAGTTGTTCGTAAGCCACCTTTTTAATATATATATATATATATATATATATATATATATATATATATATATATATATATATATATATATATATATATATAGGGGATAGGGAATATACATTACAGCCCTACCTAAGCTTAGGTACTAAACCTCTAAAATATATCGTTTTAGCATGCTAAATATACACGGTTTGGTTTCACTTGATAAATATATCATTCTCCATAACATTTATTTCTTTCATTATCATTTTATCATCTCTTTTTTCTTTCCTCAATTATCGTTAGGCATGAGCAAAAACCAAACCGAAAACCGAAAAAACCGAAAAAAACCGACATAACCGAAACCAAAGCAATAACCGATGGTTTAGGTTTGAATTTACAAAAACCGAAAAATAGCGGTTTGGTTCGGTTTTAACGTATAAAATCATTCATAAAAACCGAACCGACCCACATATATATTATTTATATTATGATTTAAACTTTTAGTTTTAGACTTTAGACTTTATCTCTTTAATAATTTATGTTTATTTTCAACAAACTGTTAATGGTGTTAAACTTTGAACTTTTGAACATTTTTAAGCTTTTATAATACTAGAATTCGTACTCTTTATTTTAGTATATATTTAAAGTAGATACAATACTATTTATCGCAACGTATTTTCACTAAGTTTGAACCCAAAAACTAGGAAAAAAAAAAAAAAACAGGAGCTCATAAACCCACGGTTTAAAACCGAAAACCCATAAACCCAACCCGGAAAACCGAAAAACCGAACCATGCAAAAACCAAACCTATATGGGTTTAAAAACCGAAAAACCGACTTTCTACGGTTTGGTTTGGTTTTAGCCAAAAACCGACTCAAACCGACCTATGCTCATCCCTAAATTATCGTTTATTACTTCATCCAAGTGAACATTACTAAACCCTAAACCTAAACTTAAACCCTAAACACTAAAGCTAAACCCTAAACCCTAAATCTAAACCGTAAACCCTAAACCCTAAACCCTAAACCATAAACCCTAACCCTAAACCCTAAACCCTAAACCCTAAACATAAACCTAAAACCTAAACCCTAAACCCTAAACCCTAAACCCTAAACTCTCACTACTAGAAAAACAGCCTTTTACGACGCGCAATCAATGACACGCGCTAATAGAGGATACGCATTTGTGCGTGCCCTAAAAATCGATGTCAGTTTTCCAAAATTTAAAGGATAGAAGACACGCATTTGTGCGTGCCGTACAATTAGTGTCAAACAAAACAAAATTAAAAACACGGAGGGCGCTTATTTTAAGTGTGTGCCGTCTACAAATGTCGCTTTATATTTTTTTAACTAAACGCGCGTTTTTAAAGAGGGATCTGAAATTCTAAAATTTTTAATACCCCGCTTCTCACTCTGATCCTATGGGTCGCCTTACCTCTCGCACAGAGCCATTCTCTCACTTCTCTCTCCCTCTCTCTCTCTCTCTCTCTAACCCTAGACATAACCACTGGCCATTCACGTTCCTTCTTCCCCGCCGCTATATTCTTCTTGCTCCATATAATAAAATCGGCGACCAAACAATCAGGCTCACTTCTTATTTTGCTTCTCCGTCTCCCACAAAAACCCTAGTTTCTATCACCACTTCTTTTTCCTCACCGACGATCTCATCTAAACCTCATTCTTCCGTTCTCTTCTTATAATTCTTAAACCCCGCTTCAAAGAACTAGGGATGCGGACCTCACAAAATCCTTCATAGAACCGGCGATTGGGGATCTGCAACTCTTCACGTTGACAACGCCCTACTGCAACTTACGGTGGGGCCCAATGGTGAAGCAATTACATAACATGGTTGACTACTCTAGAGTCCTCACTTTTTCTGTGTGGGAAGAGGGTAAGAGGATGAAGAGGTGGAAGATTTTCAAAAGTCAAGGCTGAAGAAGGAGAAAAATATTCAACGGTACGTATTTACTTTCGTATTCATCTTCTTCCTATCTATCTTCCCGTAAATACAAAATTAATCCCACTATTGAATTAGTGAATTGGGGGTTAGGGTTTGGAGTGATTTGGGGAGAATATGAGATTGGGTAGTCTTCTTCCTATCTATCATCTTCCTCTGCATATAAATCCACCCCTCATCGTCATCTAAACACAAATTAACCTTCATACTTCTTCACTCAGAAGTGTTCAGAAACAAGCTCAAAGCCTCAACACAAGATCCCCATGATGTCCATATCTCGATCCAGCCTGCTTCTGAGCCTTCTGCTTTCTCTTGCTTTTACTATAATATTCGCAGAAACACATAACTATGTGTTCAAAGTACGCCCTTATATTATACATAGTGTACCATAATCATCATATACATTTTTTGTGCAACTAATGTTCATGTTAATTTCAACAGTTATGCAAGATGGTATTACATCTTTTCTTTTACTTAGCCCTTGTGATGCGTCTTAGACAACATGAGGAAACTGTAATGCAAGATGGTATGACATCTTTTCTTTTACTTAACTCAATCTTTAATTTCTATTTCAGTGAATATTTATGCTTTCTGCATCTATCTATACTTTGGGTTGGTTTCTTTTTTGTGTTATGTTGCTGTTTGTTGGAATTTGAAATTCCCTTATTTAAGGTTCTACTGAGTTTTCCTCCTGTTGCTGTTTGTTGGGAATTATGATGTTGATATTTACCTTTTCTACCCTCAAATTTCAGGTACGTGATTACATCCATGTTGTAAATTTAGCAGATGGACACACTGCTGCTTTGAAGATACTCTCAAACCCTAATATAGCCATATAGGTGTGTATCTCTTTCTGATTGCAGATGACATTTTTTAGTTTTGGAAATTTTGTTCTGTTTGACATTAAATCAAACCATTATCTTTTTTTTAGGTTGTGAAGTCTACAACTTAGGAACGGGTAAGGGCACATCTGTGTTGGAGATGGTAGCAGCTTTTGAAAAGGCATCCGGAAAGGTATTACATTTACAATCTTGTAAATATGTTATCTAGTTTCTACCCAATGTCGATAAAGAAAATCTACTTGTATTTAGTTGTTTATTTTAAGAAAATTTACCCAATTATAGCAATCTCATCCAAATCCCAACAATTTTCACTGCTATAATAATAATAAAACCGAAAGTAGGCGTCGACCTGTAATGTTTTTGTTTGTCCAGTGAATTCCTGTTGTGATAGCTAGGCGTCGACCTGGCAATGCTGAGGTGGTAAAAACCTTACACTAGCTTCTGGGAATCTTAAAACTGCAAGATCAAGTGAAAATTTTACAAATTAATTATAATTTTCAGAAACGGGTGGAAGGTTTGTTAATTTATAATCTAAATACTATTACTAAATGGGCTCTATATCACATAGCAGCCAGTTCTTAATCAAGCAGTCAGTACCATGTTGACTTTTTTTATAAATAAATGCAAATAAAGAAGTTTTTAATTAAGGAGAAACCAAGGAACTTGATTCCATTGGTATGTATACATGCCTTGCATATGCCTAGCAGAGCACCTGGTCAAAAATAAACTAAAATTATAAGACAATTAGATAACATAATTAGTAATAAAGAAAGGCTTGAATGAAACACTAACACAATTCCATTAGTCTATGAATTGCATAGAATCAAACAAACTGATTTATTACAAAGCATGATTTTGTCAAGCTTAAACTTTTTACATTTTGAACTGAAAGTTGCAGCCAAGGCCACAAGCTCAAGAATTGCATACAATATATTTAAAAATCAATAACACAGAAAAAAGAAAATTGGAGTTGATTTTCAGATTTATACATATTTAGAAAATAGAAGTCACAAACAATATCTATGCTAATGACCAATGCAGTTAATCTAAATCGATAAATAGGACTAAGACAACCTGCTATAGAAGAGCCATCATAATTAAACAAATAAAGAACCAACATGACATTTAAAGATAGTACAAATAGAGAATGAAACAGAGGGCACTACGAACATGTTATAACTCAACTTCTGACCTGTGTTTACATAAATATAATTTAGAGTCAGGGTATTGTGGGTTGAAGTTTGTGTC